AAATTAAAAAAAAAAACTGAAAAATGTTTTTTTTTTTTTTTTTTTTTAATATTCTAGGATAACTCGGAATTGGACCAACATCTATAGGTTTATCTTTAAAATGGTCTTCGAAGGAAGGGGCCGGGGGTGCGCATCCTATAGATATATATATATATATTATATATACATGTATATTATATATGTATTATATATATATTATATATACATATTATATATTATATATATATTATACATTATATATATATTATATATATATATATCTGATATATTATCTATATATAGAGAGAGAGAGAAAGTGAGGAAGCGCACGAGCGGATTCAAGTATTTAACTACTAATACTAAAAGCAAAAATTAAAAATTTAGATAAAAACAGGAAACATGGGAAGGAGGAAAGAAAAAAAAAAATCATTGTCGAAATTACAACTATAAATTCTTAAGAAAAAAGAAAAAATATATTTTTATTTTTTTTATTTTTAATATTATAGGATAACTCGAAATTGGACCAACATCTATAGGTTTATCTTTAAAATGGTTTTTGAAGAAAGGGGACGCAGCTGCGCATCCTATATATATATGAGAGAGAGAGAGAGAGAGAGAGAGAGAGAGAGAGAGAGAGAGAGACTGCGGCAGAACAACCTGACACGGAGGGCACAATAATATCAAAGAGCATCGGATATACACACTTAGACTCATAAGCTCACACACTTTGAATAAACTCGTTATCACAAGTTCAACCTTCAAAGTAGATGACAAACCACGAATCACATCACACATGCCCCAGTTCCTTGCACTACCATAGCCATAGTCTTCCTTGATGTCGACAAAGCAGCTCTTTCTACCGGTTTCATCCGTCTGCTAACGGAATCATCAGGAAGGCGTACCTTGAGTACTTCTGTTGAAAAAGAGGCCTTATGGCTTGCCTCTTAGCTATATATTCCATTCCGAGTTCTTTGTGTCCCGCCGTCCATAGTTGCGGTTGGTACCTACCTATCCGATGGTATACGCGGGCTACGTCACTCGGTACCTACAGTCGTTCAGTGTCGTTGTTAGTGCTTGTACGAGTGTCTTGGGAAAAACTCGTCAAGCAATCAAATAACTAACTAAATAAATAAATAAATAAATGTCGAAAGTTCGAAGATCTTCCTAGTCGTTTCAGACCTGAGCTACGTAGCGTCGAAACTGGCAAAGTAAATGAGAATAAGACGACAAAAACAAAACAAAACAAAATGTCGAAAGTTTCTAGTCGTTTCAGAGTCGAGCTATGTAGCGTCAAAACAGGCAAAGTAAACAAAATAAGACGAAAAACAAAGCTAAATAAATAAAGGCGCATATAAGGGCGCAACTGGAGAAACTAAGGAGAGGGCAAAATGAAGTACGATAAAATAAATAAATAAATAAAATAAATAAAGGAATCAAAATTGGTCCGCGACCCGTCTAACTGTCGACTTTGTATGTCGAAAGAACCCCGGTCCCGACTAACTGTCCAAAATCAGTTTCGAGCCGCGGATCCTCGATTTTGTCCTCCGAAACCGTTTTTTAGTGCCCCTATCGGGAATCTCGGTCCCATGTCTGCCGCGTTTGGCGGACAGAGAGTACAGATCTCCCCAAGTGTTCCCAGCACATCTCTCCTGTAACCTTGGCCAACTTGGCCAAGGCCACGAGAGAGACCTCCGGGGGATAACCCCGGAGGTAGCTTTCGGTATGTGCGTAGGCGATGGAGCTTACACAAAGCATCCCTGAAGTTGAGGAGAACCAGAGCTTCTTCTAAGTTGCAGACAGTACCCCTGCCTTACTCTTCTTGTCGGACTAACTAGAGTAGTCCTGCATGGATTGGTATCTTAGTACCCCTAGGCCCTAAGGGAGTCTTGATTCTTCATGTTTTGTACAAAACGAACCTGTATCGGATCCGCCGTCACGTACACCTGGCCTCCAATGAAGTCCCATGTGTTCGAGTCATCATCCTTGCGCACTAGCTTCAGGTTTCGGTCATAACAGTCTTCATATTTGTCGAGTATGTTCCTGGCTCGTTCCCAGGATGTCGGTTCTCTCGAGCATCCGACAACGATAGACACATCGTCGACCATCCTCCACCCGTGCACCAATTTCCTGTGAGAGCCTAGGGACCGAAGGAACTTGGTTTCCGCCATTGCACATGTAATCGTGGCGAGTACCGGACTTGTGTTTTTTCCCATAGGAACACCCACGGTTTGCCTCCTGATCTCATCCCCACACAACATAAACGCATGTTGCAGATCATATTCGACCAGCTTGAGAATGACGTCAAGTTTTACCTTGATATATCCAGCCTCACCTCTACCCTTTTTTGACATGACGCAAGTTTTCCCCCTTGTCGCTACTCTCACTTGTTGTCAGCCCTCGTCGATGAAGTGTCGGAGTAACTCATATACAACTTCCTTCACAGTCTCATGGGGTATCGAGGAGAACATCTCCTTGATATCGTAGCACCTCCCCATCGCTGTGTGGCATCCCATCTTTGTAACCATGTGACAGGTCTGTTGCAACTCATTCTTTAGAACATAGCTGGACGAGAGGTGGAAGTTCGAGTGCTTGTCATACCTGGTAATCAGGCAATGCAGTGCTCTCGAGCATCTTCCGGACTTTCCGTTTCACGAAAGTAGCCCCGGTTCATCAATGGTTTTTGTATCAATGACCCTTTCTACCTCCCTTCTGACCTCAGACTTCAGTATAGAAGAACAGTACGAGAATTTTACCGTGACTGTCCTCCTTACACTTACTCCGGTCTTCTTTCTCAGTGTGCGGTCTAACTTTAACTTCAGTCTATTCCGTGTCTCCTTCCGTGCGAACAACGACGCCGTCCTGTAAAGTCCAATCAGTTTACTGGTTGAATATCTTGCCAGCGATGTAGCCATTCTTGGTTGTTTCAGAAGACGCTGGAGCAGAGCCTTATATCTCTCCATTGTGGTTGCAGTTTTCGTATCTTCAAGATCGTGCATTTTCCACATTTCTGGCATGCTTCCTTCGCATCCTTCAGCTGTGTAGTTCTTCCTTCAATATGAACTGTACAAGACACGTACTGTGCTGCAATGGTTCTCCACTTATCAGCCCAGATCTCTCCGGCGTGAGCGTAATCTGCACAGGTTCTTCGTGTGCGGTAGCAGATCTCTCCTCCAACCAGTTGAGAAGTGATGTGCGCATCTTGCCGTCAGCTTGAAAGGTGACCGGTATGGGACTTGCCGCTGTAGATCTTCTTCCCTTCCTCTCACGTTTGCCTCTGCGTCGCCGTGATCTGAGAGTAGTCTTGCCCCCGGTCCCGACCGTATTCAGGCTCGGGGAGAGATCTCGGATCAGGTGGTGTTCGAAGACGAAGTCGTCTTTCGCCACCGTATGTCTGATCGGGATCACTACAAACTTCTCCACTCCGAAAGTCTGCATCCACCTGTAAAGTTGAGGTGTGTTTCCTAGAGCTTTCGATCTCGCTGCCTGCATGTGCTGCCTCCACCTTTGGATAATCGGTCTTCCGGTGCACCCGACGTAGATGTGCTTGCCCCAAGGACTAGTGATCAGGTAGGTACCCCCTGTCTTGAGATCCATGGTACCCTCCTCCAACTGCATCTTGGCCAAGTACTTCTCAATCCATCTTATCTCTCCGGCTAAGCCAAGTAGTATCGTTGTTGACGTTATACGCCTCTCCACTTCAGCCGCTTATTCTCCTATCACACCTTGCCCCCTAAAGGTCTATCGCACGATTAAGCATGCCTTCAACGTATCCCAAAGTTGTCTAGCGGAAGGGGGCGCCGCTACTCAATCTTCCTCACGATCATCTTCATTCGCAGGATCTGTCTTCAGGACGACTCTCGGTGTCTCAGAGCTTCTTGTCATTCTCCTTGTTTTCATAGTCAATCTCGCAGTTTCAGGCGGGCTCTTGCTGTAGTCTTCCTTTTCGTGATTGTCGAGTACAGTCGTCTTCTTCAGTCCAGATGATGCGAAAAGTCCTTCATACGCAAGGTTCGTCTGTCTTTTCACCAGCTCCATCACCATTTCCCCCTTCTTGGTAGACTTAATGTCATGTTTTTCACAAATCTCCCGAAGTTGTGAGACCTTCTTCGCGGAATATTGCTTCATAACAGCAAGTGTGTAGTCGACCAGTCCTTCTTTCGAGCATCCGGCTGCTATACCCTTGTATCCATTCGTCAACAGTGTTCTTGGTTCTTCGAGATTGCAAGGAGGTGAGGTCAGTGTCCGTGATCTCTTCGAGCATTCTCCCTTCTCGTAGCTTCCATTCAGAGTTCTCTTCATGTTCGTACCTGCCTTCGCCTTCTTCATCTTGGCCTTGAGTTTACTTTCCTCGAGTAGTGTCAGCAGCCGATGTGTTTCTTCGTCCGTGTCTGAGGAATCACTCGTGGTTGAACTGTCCTCAGTCTCTGACTCTGATGATGTCGAGGACTCTACCTTCTTCGTACTCTTCTTGGTCTTCTTTGAGTACCCCTTAGCTCTCTTTTTCCCTTTCGCTTTAGTGATGGTCTTGCTCCGAGGTGAGATCTTCCGACTTGTATTCCTGATTGTCACCGGCATAATGGCTTTTGCCTTCTACGCTGCTTCTTCCTGTTGTTTCCTTTACTTTTCAGCGATTTCTGCCTGTAGTTGTAGTCGTAACTCTTCAGTCCTTCTCGCCATGTCGATATCCCTCTTCTGTTCTTATTCTTCCTTCTTTCGTAGCTGTTTTTCTTCCAATCTCTTCTTCTTTTCTTCTTCCTTTCCTTCATGAGGTCTCTGACAAATATATGTACTTCATCTTCTTGCTGTACTGGCCGGCCTCTCTTGCTCCAACAGTCTCTGGCTATATGTCCCACTTTCCCACAGTCATAGCACTGTGGACCATTCAATCTGTTGCCCCATCCGTTATTGTTCCCAAAATTGCCCCGGTTACCATTGCCTCCGTTGTTTCCTCCATTTCCGTACATTTTGTCAATCTCCTCGTTCATTCTAGGTCCTAGTTCAACGTCTCCAGGTATCACTAGTCTTATTGAATCCCTTATCTTGCGTGGGTCCAATTCAGTGCCTCCAGATATCAACTATCTCCCTAAGTTCGCTCTCGACTAAGTTTCTTCTAAGCCTAAGAAGTCGGATCACTCTTCTGATACGCTACAGAATTGTCTGGAGTTGTCTAAATACCTCCGCTCTAGCCTTCGGATAAGAGATGAGGTAAGCAGTAGCAAAGATTGGTCGAATAGTGTGTTGTGCGTAGTTATCCAACGTCCGAAATAGCCTAGCTCGTTCGATTGCACCTCCTCTGTTCCTATATATTCTTTGTGTGTTACCACATCTCTCGCATCTATTCGGCCTTGTCTTCTTAGAGCATCGAACCGATCACCTCGAATGCTATCCCAATGATTAGAAGACCTACACCGAATAGTACCTTCTGTATCGTTCTCTTCATTTTCACCTGAAACAGTCGCAAATCCAGCAGATTCCTTCGTTTCGGTTAAAAGTTTTTCAAAATCCGTGAACAACATTCTGTCTTAAAACAGGATAAATTTTCCAAATATCAAGAAAACTATTGTCTAATAAGAAAATCTCTCTCCAATGATTGTACTTCAGAGGAATCTTCTATAGTCACCAGAATCTTCTACATTCAGCGAACTCTTTCATCCAAACAGAGAAGGTTCTTCTAAAGCTACCACATCTCTCCAAATCTCCTTCAAACCAGCAGGAAGCTCATGTAGAGTCAGCGAGAATTGAACAGAAAAACTCTTGCGAGACTAGCGATACTCTCGTTGAAAAGAAACAGAAAAGAAAAGAAAAATCTTGTGAAACCAGCGAAGTCGAAAATAGAAAACTCTTGTGAAACCACCGAAGCAGAAAACAGATAACAGAAAGCAGAGAACTCTTGTGAGACCAGCGAACTAGTCTTGTGAAACCAACTAAGCAGAATCAGAAACAGAAAGCAGAGAACTTTTGTGAGACCAGCGGAGCATTCTTATGAAACCAACTAAGCAGAATCAAAAACAGAAAACTCTTGTGAGAACCAGCGAAGTAGAATCCTCAATTCCTCCTCAACTATTCCTCAAACATACACAGCCACCGTAAAGCCTAAAACCCCGATTACTCTCCCAAGAGCGGCAGACTGCGGCAGAACAGCCTGACAGGGAGAGCACAGTAATATCAAAGAGCATCGGACATGTACACTTAGACTCACAAGCTCACACACTTTGAATAAACTCGTTATCATCAGTTCAACCTTCAAAGTAGATGACAAACCACGAATCACATCACACATGCCCCAGTTCCTAGCACTACCATAGCCATAGTCTCCCTTGATGTCGACAAAGCAGCTCCTTTTACCGGTTTTATCCGTCTGCTAACGGAATCATCAGGAACGTGTGCCTTGAGCACCTCTGTCGAAAAAGAGGCCTTATGCCTTGCCTCTGAGGTATATATTTTATTCCGAGTTCTCCGTGTCTCGCCGTTTATAGTTGCGGTTAGTACCTACCTATCCGATAGTATATGCGGGCTACGTCACTCGGTACCTACAGTCGTTCAATGTCGTGGTTAGTGCTCGTAGGAGTGTCTTGGGAAAAACTCGTCGAGCAATCAAATAACTAACTAAATAAATAAATAAATGCCGAAAATTCGAAGATCTTCCTTGTCGTTTCAGAGCTGAGCTACGTAGCGTCGAAACTGGCAAAGGAAACGAGAATAAGACGACAAGAATAAAACAAAACAAAATGTCGAAAGTTCCTAGTCGTTTCAGAGCCGAGCTACGTAGTGTCAAAACTGGCAAAGTAAACAAAATAAGACGAAAAACAAAGCTAAATAAATAAAGGCGCATATAAGGGCACAACTGGAGAAACTAACAACAGGGCAAAACGAAGTAAGATAAAATAAATAAATAAATAAAATAAATAAAGGAATCAAAATTGGTCCGCGACCCGTCTAACTGTCGACTTTGTATGTCGGCGGAACCCCGGTCCCGACTAACTCTCTAAAATCAGTTTCGAGCCGCGGATCCTGGATCTTCTCCTCCGAAACCGTTTTTTAGTGCCCCTATCGCGAATCTTGGTCCCATGCCTGCCGCGTTTGGCAGACGGAGAGTAAAGATCTCCCCAAGTGTTCCCAGCAGCGTCTCTCCCGTAACCTTGGCCAACTTAGCCAAGGCCCCGAGAGAGAGAAAAAAAAAATAAAAATAAAAAAATTTGCAGTAATATGCCAATCTGCATTTGGAACTTTCTAAGGAAAAAGAATTTTGGCATTTCGAGTATTTCAAAGTACACAAACACAAACCCAAAGTACACAAGCACAAACCCAACGCTCTGAATACAAAAACCTGCGGTATCTACAGGGGTGGGCTTGACTCCAGAATGTGATCAGTAAGGCCAGCAGATATGTCAAGCCGAAAGTACAGAAACCCAACAGCTAGGGTGCAGAAACAGATGTCTCAAAGTACCAGTCTTCCACAATATGACAAAGCGACACACTTCCACGATATGCATAGAAAGGAAACTCTTTGCTCCACCACCTCTCTCTAACCAAGATCAAAAGACAGATCATAGAGGTGGCCTTTATCATAGAAAGAATGTTGCAAAACAGGAATTTAAGTTGCGGTAGACTTTAAGGAGACTCAAGCTGCAATAGACGCAGCATGGAAACTCAGAAAGTGACTCAAGAACTCAGGCCGCAAATAACTGGTACTCTCTCTCTCTCTCTATCTATCTATCTATCTATCTATCTATCTATCTATCTATCTATCTATCTATCTATCTCCCCCGTCAGTTTTCTGTGTGAGGACTTGTTCATTGACTATCATATGATCGTGTTTGCTATGCAAAACTTTGTCTATCCACTCTGGTAGTTGGTCTGTGTCACCACGAGGCTGAGGGTCTCTCAAACTGTCTGCATCCATCCAAAATGCCGAGGGCCCCAATATGCTCATAAATGTCAAAAATTTGGCCTTGCTCGAAAATGCATGCCCGCCTTCACTTAGGGCGGGCACTGGCATATGGGCACGGGTGTGTTTACCCACAAATGTTAGCGTACGGGCAGTTGGTCATAACTTCAGGACAGGCAGATCAAGTATGTAGGTCCAGTGTAGAAGACTCGAACACATGCCCATACATGCACTTGCTTAGCCAGGACCATCATTACAGCATCATACAATTAAGAAATTTTGTCGCAGCATTCAGAGCACATGCCCATACATGCGCCTGCCAAGCCTGGAGCTGCACGTTCAAAGGACAACACCCTTTTAAGGTACTTCAGTGTGCCTCAGAATCCCTCAAAAGAACTGCACATAGCCAACAACACCCCCTCTTACCTCCGCACCCTGTCAATATTGACCCAAACCGCCAGTTGTTCCAAGCCTCTTTTCCCAATGTTGTTTGTTGCTTGGCCCTAAGAAATCTAAACAGGCACCACGCCTGACTAGCCTGCCTTCTACCGCCAGCCTTTTTATGGCAATCCAACCCATTCAAATGCCTCAAGTCCAGCACTCCCTCTGCCAAATCGCACTCCTCTCGTTCTGAGTTTGCCTTTTGTGTCGTTTGGTCCCTCTTAGAGAATTCATTGTACGCGCAAACATCACAAATGACAAATAAGGATGTACATTGCTGCAGGCGCACATACAACTCAGAAATATATAGTGAAGTCGAAAAAAAATAAATTTAACAGGGTGCGAGATTTCCACCCTTTTTTTTACAAATTTTGAACGCATGTTAACACATAAAAATACCCCTAAAAAATGACAAACGTGAAACCCCGAACGCGCGTCGGGATATATTCACCGCCCCCAAAAACGACTAAGTAAAATCCCGAAATCTCGAAGTGCGTTTTCGGTACCGAAATCCCGAACTGCGTTTTCGGTACCGAAATCCCGAACGCACGTCAGGATATAATCCCCCCCAAAAAAAAACAACGACCACGTAAAATGTTGAAATCCCGAATGCACGTCGGGATATAATCACGCCACAAAAAAAACGACTAAGTAAAATCCCGAAATCCCGAAGTGCGTTTTCGGTACCGGAATCCCGAACGCATGTCGGGTTATAATCCCCCTAAAAAAAAAAACGACTTAGTAAAATGTCGAAATCCCGAAGTGCGTTTTCGGTACCGAAATCCCGAACGCACGTCGGGATATCATCCCCCCCCCCAAAAAAAAGACCAAGTAAAATGCCGAAATCCCGAAGTGGGTTTTCGGTACCGAAATCCCGAACGCACGTCGGGATATAATCCCCCCCCCAAAAAAAACGACAAAGTAAAATCCCGAAATCTCGAAGTGCATTTTCGGTACCGAAATCCCGAACGCACGTCAGGATATAATCCCCCCCCCAAAAAAACAACGACCAAGTAAAATGTTGAAATCCCGAATGCACGTCGGGATATAATCACGCCACCAAAAAAACGACCAAGTAAAATGCCGAAATCCTGAAGTCCATTTTCGGTACCGAAATCCTGAACGCACGTCGAGATATCATCCCCCCCCCCAAAAAAAAAGACCAAGTAAAATGCCGAAATCCCGAAGTGCGTTTTCGGTACCGAAATCCCGAACGCACGTCGGGATATAATCCCCCCCCCAAAAAAAACGACTAAGTAAAATCCCGAAATCCCGAAGTGCGTTTTCGGTACCGAAATCCCG